ATGAAACATTGATAGCTAAAGACTGCAAAACCAACCGCAAAATTTTTTTCAAGTACATCAATTCTAAAAAAAACAAAAAATTAAAGTGTAGGTACACTGGAAACAGAGTTGGGTTTATTAGCTAATGAAGACCAGGAAAAAGCAGAAATTTTAAATAACTATTTTTCTTCAGTATATATTAATGAGAATTCTATGGCAAGAGATATGCAAATGATTGCTGCAAAAAAACTTGCAAATAATTTGTGATTGGATAACTCGAGACAAGCTATTAAAGAAAATTAATGTAAATAAAGCTCCGGGGCCTGGCGGTATTCACCCACGCATGGTTTTATGAAACATAGGTCATGTCAAACTCACCAAATTGCATTCTACGAAGAAGTAAGTAGAAGTATAGATCAGGGTGTTGCAGTGGATGTCATCTACTTGGATTTTGCCAAGGCATTTGATATACAAACAATAGGTTAGTCTTCAAACTAAAATAAATTGGTGTAGATGAATATTCTTGTTCTTGGGTAGAACATTGGCTTAAGGATAGAGTACAGTGAGTTGTCATTAATGGTAAATTTTCAGGCTGGACAAAAGTGGTGTCCCTCAGGGTTCTGTTTTGGGACTGCTTCTATTTAACATATTTATAAATGATCTTGAAATAGGCATTGAAAGCCATGTTTCAGTGTTTGCAGATGACACAAAACTTTGTAAAGTAATAAGCAGGATATTGCTTTGCTGCAGGGGGATTTGGATAGATTGGGGGACTGGGCACTAAAATGGCAGATGAAATTTAACGTAGAGAAATGCAAAGTTATGCACTTCGGGGTCAAGAATGCACAAGCAACTTACACCCTAAATGGTAGTGAATTAGGGATAACCACACACAAGAAGGATTTGGGAATTGTTATAGAAAACAAATTAGGCAGCAATATGCAATGTCAATCTGCAGTTGCTAAGGCCAGTAAGGTTTTGTCATGTATAAATATGGGCATAAATTCTCTGGATCAAAATATAATTTTGCCTCTTTATAAATCGCTGGTAAAACCACACCTTGAATATGCTGTGCAGTTTTGGGCACCTGTTCTAAAGAAGGATATCATGGCACTAGAAAAAGTGCAGAGACGAGCTACAAAATTGATAAAAGGAATGGAGCATTTTAGTTACGAAGAAAGGTTAAAAAATGTAAATCTGTTTAGTTTGAAAAAATGGCGCCTCAGAGGGTATATGATAACATTATACAAATATATTCTGGGCCAGTACAAACTAATAGCTGGAAATCTCTTCATAAACAGGGCTATACATAGGACACATGTAGCGGAGCGGCAATATTTAATCCCATGATCTCCGCTGGTTAAGAAGGTAATCCACAGTCAAGCGCTGAAAAGCAAGGCAATATCCCAAATCCCCCAGTAACCGGACGAAACACAGTTCTGGGAGTCAACTGAGGTCTTTATTCACATGCTCTAGTATTTATACAATTCCCCATTCAAGGGGTTTCCTGAGTCACATCATAGGGGTATTACAGGAGAGGACTACATGGGAAACTTAATGTACAGAGCATTTCTCCCATCAGGCACTGCTGCACGAGAGGGATAAAATGTATAACTTTCTCAATATTGGGTTGATTTACATGAATGGACGTTCGGTAGATAGCTGGGGTCTGAGCACATAGTTCGTGAGATTACCGCTCAGATCCCAGCTAAAACAACCGAACGCCGCACGAAAAACATATTCATCAAAACATACATTCAAAAGACCGATTGGCATACAGGGAGTAAAATACTGAACAGCCCGAAACTCCCGAACGGCCTGGAAGTCCAGCGGTGTTCGCGCCGTCGAGTAGCCGTTTCCAGTACCACGCGCTCGACGACCAAACACCGCTGGAGGAACAAAGGATCCAAGATGGCCGACCGCCGCGTGGTCGGTAGTCGAACGACAGCCACCTAGGAGAGCCTCTAATTACCGATTGCAACATTGTTGCAATCGGTTAACAAGCACCACACGTCTCTTAGTGTGTGGGCTATTGCAGGATAGTTTATTCGGTTCACGAACAGCCCGCAAAGGCGCTGTTCGTGAAACGAAATGAAATACAGCTATCTGCTTTCGGCAGATAGCCAATACAGGCAATGCAATCATATGGTTTACAATACATTACAACCAGGTACATATAACGTTATAAGAACTATACAGGCAACCCTTAAAGCCATAGTCTCTCTGTATGGTCCAAGTGGCTAGGTTTGCCACAACACATTTAGGCTGGAAGAAAGGAGATTTCATCTAAGGCAAATAAAAGGTTTTTTTACAATAAGAGCAATAAGGATATGAAATTCTCTGCCTGAAGAGGTGGTTATATCCCTGTATGTTATCCCTGTATGTTATTATATCCCTGTATGTTATGTTTTTGAAAGTATTTATCCAATTGCAGTTTAAACATCTGTATGGACACTGGCCCCCACCACTGAGCGGTGGGTGGGGGCCCTAAGATACTAATTGGGGGGACCTAATGTCCTCCCCCCTCATTCTAACTTAGGGCCCCCACCCATTGCTCAGGTGTGGGTCCCAGGGGGGGGGACATTAGGTGTCCCCCCCTCATTCTAATTTAGGGCCCCCACCCATCGCTCAGGGGTGGAGGCCGAATTGCTGAAGTCTCGAATTTCAGAATGCCGAACCGAACCGAACCGAAATTTTTTCCTATGCACATGCCTAGTTCCTGGTAAACCGGTGGTTCTCTGTCTGATACCTGTACGTATATCACAATGTATGTCGTTCCTGATAAACCAGTGGCTCTGTGTCTGGTACCTGTACGTATATCACAATGTATTATATTATATATAATAGGTATTATAGTTTGTTTGATATTTTGAAAGACAAGTTAGAGAACCATATCAGTAGATTGCTGTGTAAAGAGAAATTACATCATTTTTATCTATTGCTCATATAACGTATAATGTAGGGCAGCCGCGTTCAGAATATTGTTATGGCCAATATAACGGCCATTTAATGCTGGCTTAGAGGTTTACTGGTGTGCAATGCGTGTGAGATGGGATTCGTTTTGTCTTTTAAAGAGTAAGGATCTGACAGCCTCTGATAACACCCCACGTAGATATGGCCTCATGGCGTTTATCATCCCAGCCTCTCAATTAATTTTCAGGGCCCGTTCAGCGCAGGTTTCAGTAACGTGGTGAGAAGTGTCTCAGTGATTCTGGCTGAGAAAAATGCTTCCTTACATAGGAGTATTGAGGTTTCACTTCAAACTCGTACTATGTTTCCCATCATCCTCTCTATGCCCCAGCTTTCTGAATTTAAGTACAATTTAACAAGGGCGCTAGGGTTACGTGGGTGTCAGGGTTACGTGGGTGTAAGCGTTATGTGGGTGTAAGCGTTATGTGGGTGTTAGAGCTATATGGGAGTCAGGGTTATCTGGGGTTATGTGAAGTGTCAGCATTGTAAGGTGTTAGGGCGAGGATGATGCCATTATGTGTTCTGGAAAAAACATTGAGGTGTCTTTGTTTTAAAAATATTAAATTTTACGATGCAATTGTGGGTCCATGTCAGGATCAAGATCAGGATCAGATCGAACCAAATCACAATAGACTTTCCGCTAGCGGTCCGTAGACTGGCCACGATAATGGAAAACAGAGTCAGTGAGGACAGCCGAGGTCAAGG